CAAGGGACTCGACACTTCTGCACTGGGACAGTGTGTTGACATCATCCTGGGGCACAGAAAAAGGGGAGAAACCTGATTGCAGACCACTGGGGAATGGGACCCCACCACCGAAGATGGTGTCAAGATGAAGGCTACCCCAGGAGTGACAGCGAGCAGTGGGCTGATGCCTATGGCCCTCACCAGAAGGAGAGGGTGTAGTCTCCAACAAAGGTCTCGCTCTCTCTGACGAGGAAGGAGCCATCGGGGGCCCCCGTCTCGATGCAGTACTCCGTCAGCAGCCGCTCCGCGATGTGCCGCCCATCGCGTCCCGCTCCCAGCTTGCCGTGAAACCACTTCTCCGCAGAGTGAAGCTCGGTGCTGTTGCTCACCTGGCAGGGGGAAAACCCACCGCCTTGGGTTACTGAGGGCAGGCTCGTGGTGCCGGAGTCTGCTCTGCTCAGGGGTCTTCCAACCAGGACCGGGGAGTTTCTGAAGCGGCTCCCACCCTTCCCACCACAGGATCTCCCCCTGAAGTCAGCTGGTAGTGGAGATGCCCACCCCTTGGGCAGTCAAGTCCCTTCTCTAGGGGGACAACCCACCGTCACACAAGGGAGCCCTCACCTCCTTTTGCTCTTCCTCATCCTCGTTTCCTTGGTCACTGGTTGTCTCCCCAGAGTAATAGATCTTGCTGCTGGTCAGGACAAAGTAATGCGGGTTCCACTCCTGCAAGGAAACAAACTCTGGGCAAAGAGACCCGCCTGAGGAAGCTCCAAGCTGTCCCACCACCCACCCGTGGGATCATCTCTTCCTTATCAGCACAAGCAGTGAGGGGTGATCAGGATTGCGAAGGATAGTCACCAGCAACACTGATTTCAGTGGAGTCACAGGAGCTTCCAAGACATCCCCCAGATCCGAAGCACAGATTTATCAGCAGCAAAAAACCAGCACGTGATAGGTCTTACATACAGAGTGACTGCGGGTCACGCTGCAAACACCACAGCACGTATTAAAGAGAGATGACCAAATGAAGAGCAAATCAATGCAAAAAGGAAACACTCTGCATGGATTCAGCACGGGGGCTATCCGAGATGGTTATGCAGCTTTCCCATTGCACTCTCCTATTTTCCAAAAACCTGTTTCATTCGCATGTGACTTTGCCTGAGAGATCCTCAGCAAAGCAAAGCATCTGAAGAAGTGGACTGTGTATAAGTAAACGCACACGGTAAAATGAACGCTCGGCGCTTTACAAAGCAGAATGCTCGTTTAGGCGGGTTAAGTGTGTAGGCACTTGGTAGGAGGCAGGCAGGTCTAGAAATGCAGGCCACCACTAGAACTTACTGCAGCAACAGACAACAGGCTATACGGATTACACAAGAGCAGCTGCAGTGCATCAGCCCAGAGCTCCCTCTAGCTCAGCCTTCTGCCTCTAACAGGAGATGCCTAGGGAAGAGCACAGGAGAGAGCCAGCATAAAAACTCCCCCAGCCTTCGGAGACTCCTGAGAAACAGGACAGACCAACAGCCTCTTAGATCGTTTGCACCACAGCCCTTCCTTCCGGCACCACACAGTGCCTTACGGAGCTACCCTGCCACGTACGCAGCCCGGGTGACAGGGTGACAGTGGCAAAGCGAGACGTACGTGATTGATGGGGTCTTCCAGGTAGAGGATCCCGTTCTTGATGGAGTTGCTGATGTCATTCTCTGAATACATTACGGACGTGGGTAACTCCTCGTAAGCACTGCCCTCTGCCAGCTTCTTGTGCTGTGGGATGAGAAAGCGGGTCAGGCACCTTGAGGGGAGCAGGCACCCAAAAAGCAGCATGGATTTCCTGGTGAAGAACCCTAAAACTCCAGGTCTGCCGCAGTGGGTTCCTCCAGACCAAAAGGACCAAGGTAAAACCCACAGAGGTTATCAAATGGCACTGAAGACCCACCCTTTCTTCCCAGAGGTGACTCCTGCAGCAGAAATACCAACATCCCCAAAGCTCTCAAGAAAGGCAGCACCCAGCTGCTAAGCTCATTTCCCAGCAGCTCCTCTGAAGCAAGAGAGCTCTTTGTCTCCAATTGTTTTTAGCATCAGATCTCCACTTTCAAGCCTGCACTGCCAACTTACCCTTCCAGAGGTAAGTAGCTGCCCTTGGTCCCACACCCTCACCCCATCTGACCCTGTTCTCTGGAACTTTGCTGGAGAAAGGAGTTCACCTTGATGAGAATCTTCCTCTTGAGCTGGTTTGGAGATGGAAGGCCATCAGCAGAAATATCTACTGGTTTGGTCAACAGCATGTCCCCAAAGACCTTCTTGAAATTCTGAGCCATGTTCCTCTGCTGAGCAATGCTGCAGTGGTCCTCAATGGACAGAATGACGGGGAAACTGGGAGAAGGAAAAGAGCCGTCAGAACCAGCATGGTGTCTGGACGGAACCAATGCCTTCTGAGCTCCATTTCAAAACCTGGCCTCTGTGCCTTCAAAGAGCAGTTTGCACCAACGACGATCTGTGCTTTCTTGTGCATTCAGTGTAACCACCCCACAGTAAGGTGTCCCCACCGCTGCTGGCAATTCTTAGAGTGGAGAATGACTGGCAAACTGCTGGGGTTTACCCAAAGCCTTCTCTCCCACAGCTTTTTTCTCAGAGAAATCTCCCTTTGGCTGGGAGATACAATGACATGCGTTCTTCCCACCAAACCCCAGGTGCATGGTCTTGTCCTGGATCTCTGGATAAAGGTGGACTTCACTATGCTACAGCCTTGGCTCTACCCTCTCTTTGCCTTCCTGGCAGCTCTGCTAGCTGAAGCCCAGGTCCCTGCTGTACTTACTCGGAGGCGACAAAGGCATGCTCCTTGATAGTGACCAAGACATCAGAGAACTTGATCTTGGTGGTTAAGGTGTGTCCATGGTAGATGACGGGCATGCCATCGGGACCATCCCAGCAATCCACTGAAAGACACCCGTGGGGGAAACTTAGCCCAAAGGCTGGAATATAGGCAGTACACGGACACGAGATGGACTGAACTAAGCACTGCTGGGAACCGCCTCGGATGGTAACAAAGTCCAGATCTTTCTGGGGAACCAAAAGCTTGGGCACGTACCACCCAGTCCCACAAAGCAAACGACCTCAGCCCTGTCAGCACGTCAACCTTCAGCCCTGCCTTCCAGACAAAGCCCTCCCCAACCACCGCAAGCTATCGCGATGACAGAGACAGAAGTGCTGGCTCTGGGTACTCACACTCGATACAGCGGCATCCCATGCGTAAGCAGCGGGCATACGCCTCCAACGAGGACTCGCTCGAGAACTGATCCCCCGTCAGGTACCTTTCATGTGAGAGAAGACATCAGCAAAGCAACACGCTCACTGTGGGCACTGATGTCTGCTGGGACATCGCGGACCTGCCTCTGCGATGTAAGGAATGGCAAGAGCGACGTTCCTTCAGACCTGCCATCTTCCCCAGCTGAGGGGTTCAACTCTGCCCCTGCTGCAAGGGGCTGCAAGCACTACTCTGAGGTCCAGCCTTGCTGCTGGCTCTTGAGATAAGTCTCAAAGAGCATTGGTGCCACGAAGAGCCCCTTGTACCAGGCAGAAGCGGCCCGAGAGCAGGGTTAGACCAGCTCTTGCAGGCAGACAAGAGCTTGCTGCCTGCCCTCTATGCTGCTCAGCTGGCTTAGGCTCTCTGTCCTTTAAATCTGGGCTGAGGTGCTGCCACTGCATCCCATGAACAGGGAGCGCAGACAGAACCTGTCTGCAAAGAAAGCTATTCCTGCAAGATTCTTCTAGCAGCAGAGAAGGAAAATGGCCAGATTCAGCCTGCCAGGTTTTTATCACATCTGTCCTTGGAGTCTGTGGAAGATGACATTGCTAATGGTACAAAATCACCAGAGTGACAGCCCAGGACCTGAAAGCACAGTCGGTGCAGATGTGTGTTGCTGATAATGTCTGAGCAAAACGTTGATGGTTAAACGATGGAGGGAGGATTGGGGCATCAAGAGGAAGATCTCTGATGTACTGACCCCGGTTTGGAAAAGTCTATTTAACCCATCACTGGGATCAGGCAAAATCAGGAGAATCCCACCCTGGCACAGGGGAAGAGGATGCTGGAAGTGGACGGGTGAAGAGAGCCATCCCCTAGTCCTTACGTGTTGTGTGAGGAGGAGATCCAGTAATGGGAGAGGGGGTTGTTCATGTTCTCCAGACACACCATGTCCAGCTGCGAGTTCCAGATGCTGTTCTCTTTGGAAAACAGGAAGGTGAGAAACTGCTCAGGAAGAAACAGAAGCGTGTTAATGATGCGGAGGAGCCGGGTGCTGTAGTTTAGCTTCACACACATCTCGCCCACCGTGTCAGCAACTACCAAGCAGGTAGCTATTTTCTAAGCTCAGCACAGACCGACCAGAGGCAACCGAGACAGCACGCAAGCTATCTGACCCAGTGTGCTCGAGTAACCACAGCTTAGGCATTCCCACCTATCCTCTGAGCTGTGCCAGATATCCATGTACAAATCCTTTGACCCAGCTGGAGACAAATTAATTGCTCTGCATTTTATTTTGCAGCTCACATGGCAGGCAATAGCTCACTAAGGCCATGTGGGTCAAGGGACATTTGTGTGGGAGTCAGTCCAGAGTGCCAGCGACATGGTCATCTCCAGTTGTTTTTATTCTTTTGTTTTCAGCTCTTCTTGCTTTGAAAAGATCCTTACATACCGCAAAGGGACATTAAGCCAAATGCAGCCCCTTTCCTCGTCCAAATGGACTGCCTGGTGAGCACTTCCAGCTGCACACATTCGGCACAAGAAGAGAGCCCAGAAGGCATTCTCTTCACCAACCAGCTCTTGTGCAACATGGTGACCCACCATGTTCATCTCATACAGCAATGCAGCTTACAGCGGCTGTGACCCTTCAAGCACCGCCACCCCGCAGTGAAGACACAGACAGTAGAGCTGTCACACCGCAGCACACACCGCACTGGGGATGTCACACCTTACTCCATGCCACTCCATACATGCTAGCATTCAAGGTTTCTTACTTCATCCAGGGAGAAATAAGGCTCATCAATCTCCCTCAAAGGGTCTCTCAGAAAGTTGAACATGAATTCCTGTACCTGAAGGGTATCTGCAGCCCAGAGCTCCTGCAAACCCCAAGAGAGACATAAAAAAGAAACCGTTTCAGAAAGTATTATTCAAAACCACGTGCAGCTCATCCGACTAGAAGCTTTAACCATTAAGGAGGCAGTTTTTAACGCAAGACCATCTCTGCCAGGAATTCAACTGTCAGCACAAATGCCGCATAGCATGCAACTGCAGAAATCTGCCCTTTCTAAGTGGTCTTCATTTTCTCAGTGCCATGCATTTTTCTCTCCGATAGCTCGTTTGCACACATCTGCCATCCCTCCTCCTTTGGCAGCAGAAGCCAACTCGGCTTCCTTTTGCTCCTCTCTCTCCCTGGCTGTCTTTCATTAGGCCATCAAAACGGCTGCATCTCTTTGCTGGTTAACTCTCCGCTCGCTGCAGACCATGGGCAGGGAGGCGGCGGTGGGAGACAGGGAGGACAGTGCAAAGCAGGAGGCACCATGCTCTCATGTGAGGCATGGCAGCGCTTTCGTGAGCCACCCCTGTCCTCCTGGAGGAGATCAGCGACAAGACAGGAGCCCAACAAGAGTCGAAATAAAGGGTCTGTGCAGACAGCAAACGCGCTGCTCGTGCCTGCGTGCCTCTCAGAACGCACATGGTATGCTTGCTGAATGACCCAATACTTCCATTCCAAATGGAAAAGTCAGCAATTGAAGCTCCTGAGACCTCCTGAGCAGACAGGATGGACCATGACACTTCAGCTGCTGCAAGCCTTTGGTACCAGCTGAGGTCACAGGGACTGGGCAAACCTCCACTGACCAGTTCCTCCCTCCTGGGACCTCCAGTCCTGTCAGATCTTCTGCTCTTGGTCCCTTTTCTGACCAGGGTGCCTGGCTGCAGCCAGGTCTCCCCTCACCAGTGCTGCCCCTGCATCACCTCCTGCTCCAGGAAGGATGCGCTCAGGTTATGGCCATGCCAGGCAGAGCACCCCATGACCAAATCATCCCAGCTCCATGCCAAGGCTAACCTTGGAGCACTGGATCCCTGCTGATACTGGTGCCTACTCCCTCGTCCCTCCCCAGGGCCTGTGTCAAGCTCACCCTCTGGTACTCCAGCAGGAACTTCTGCAACTCCAGCAGTGACACCCTGAAGTGCTCAGACCTTTCTCCACCCCTGAAAAGCAAAGAGAGAGAAGTGTCGGTCACTCATGCAGCACATCACGATGAACTGTTACCAGCATCATGTGAGATGCCATCCGCAACCACCATGGCACATGCAAGCAAGATGTGCCCCAAGCAAGGAGCGCTGCAAGAGCAGAGCTGGATGAGCAGAGACAGATGAGGAGGGCATGAGAGCAAACACAGAGTGGCCGAGACTATACGTCCACATCTCAGAGCCAGGGACGACTCCAGGAGCAGTCCAGGATTCACACTGCCAAGGGTATGACAACATGAAATGCTGGTGAAGGGCAGCAAAAACCACCAGAGAGACTGATTTGTACAAAAAAAAAAAAAGGAGGGTCTTGCTTGTACAAGAGTGAAAAGAACTAAATAGGCGCAGGGCAGGCAAGGGGTGATTGTAGACAGGACAGAGCTACAGGTATCCACATGGACTCAAGGAAGCAGGGCAAGGAATGAAGCAGGGAATCATTTGTAGCTGGTTATCTCAAAAGACTTGTCCACGAACATACCAAGCTGCAATGGACAGCCAAGGGCTGTGCTGGGGACTAACGCCAAAAACCCCAGAAATGGACTGGGCAGTGCTGGCTGCCCTGGGCAGAGGGATGAACCAGATGGTCTACTGACATCCCTGCCACCTCGCTTTTCTATGGTTATAAGAAAAAAAGGGGAATCCATGTTAACTGGACAAGTTAACAAGTTTTTCACTCTTTAACTTCCCTGTCTAAATTCAAGCTCTTTTTACCACGGCCGAGATGCACAGAGGGCAGGGAAGGGCACGGTTGGCAGTGGCACCACAGGCACTGCCCGGAGAGGAGCCAGAGGGGAGTGCACGGTGCACAGCCTGCACAGCCCTGGTGCTGTGGCCAGCCAGCACCAACCACAAGAACCTCTGGGAGATGGCTCAAGGTCTGAGTATTTCACATAAACCAACTGACCGTTTTTGGCGGCAGCTGACTTGAGCTGGGTCTCAGTGGGATGTCTGGGAGGAAGAGAGTTCTTACTGACCCGAGCTGAAGTGCCTACAGCAAAGATGCTTATGCAGAGTGCGAAAACGCAAGCAGCGCGGTGGCAAGCAAGAGGCGTGCAGCATTCCTCCTCCCTGACATGCTGCTGCAGGCACCAAAGCATGTTATGGAGCAGAATAAAACAGCCCTTTCCCCAGCAAATACAGAGAATTATCCACCTTTCTAGGAACGGAACATCCATCTGCAAAAGAAGAAGCACAAGCATTAGGTTCGCACTCACTCTCACCAACGTACGTGAAAGCAAAAATTGATCAAGAAGGGAACGGGGTCGGCGCACCAGCACTGTGCAGCTCTGATTTCCTACAGCCACTGCTCACACACCGCCTCCCCCATGCCCAGCAGCCCAAGCAGCACCGTGCTAACCAGCCTAAAGCAGTAACTTCTTTGCTCCCTGTCATCCCTGGCCCAGAGGTAGGAGACAAGAGCTATTAGCTGAGGGCAGCAGGATTAAAAAGGCAATAACAAATCTGGTCTCTCCCTCCCCTTCTTGGCACTGGAGAACTCAGCTCTTACCATTTTCTGGGCACTGAACATCAAGCTGCGGTAGAGCTGTGCAAACTGCCCGTACGTGATATCCCCGTTCCTCTGCTCCACGTCCTGTGGCAAAAAAAAAACAACAGAGGTTTTACATGGGCCACAGGCAACTCTGCATGGCCTGAGGAGCATCTCCTCCCACCAGGATTCCCGGGGGAAAACGATGATGGAGAGGCCAAAACCTGGCCAGACCTTGCCTCCTACCTTTGCCCCTCTGCTGAGGCCAGCGGGACCCTGTAGTGCCCAGGACACAGGCACATCCTAAACTGAGTTACCCAATTCCCCAAGGTCACCCACATAAAGGCATCACAGTGCTGGTTAAAAAGCATTATCCTCTACTTGAATAGTTACAAAAGGAACATTTTAATTTCTGTTCGCAGAGAGCATCTGAAGCGTCTGGAAACTGCAAGACCCAAAGCGTGGGCTCTCCTTTGGAGGCTCTTTGACCTTGGAGTTCAGTGCTGGTGGAAATGGCTGGTCATCACGAGATGACCCTTCGTTCCCGGGTCTGCAGCGACGCTGGCAGGGCTGGCCACCTGTCACCCGGTGGCAGTGGGATGCAGGACCCAGGATGCAGGACCCGGGATGCAGGACCAGCTGGCCTCACTGCCTGTCCTCCTGCACTCTGCCCCAGCAAGGGCAAAGCCCTAGAGCAGAGCCAGGAGCCATGTGGGGAGCGGGGGAGGCGGGGTGGGGCGAAGAGAGGGCGCTG